ACTCAAGGTGGGAAATGGGGAGGTTTGTGGTGATCTTAACACGTGAAGATGTAATTCCATCCTGGTGGAAACCTCTGTGCCCTTCACAGAGGAACATGGCCCACACCTCGTGAAACTCTGTTGTGCTCAGGGACTCCAGCTGGTGTTCATGGTCTTTACAAGGTCTCTGCTCTCCAGTGAAAGGACAGAGGGACTCTCAAGGCACAGGGAGTAACACGTCTGCAGCTATGTGGGACCCCCCTCTACTATGTGGGACCCCCAGCAAGCATTGTCACCTCCCAGTGACATACTGACCATGTGCCATGTGGCCTTGCATCTTCTGACAGATTGGTTTTGTCCCACTTCATGATCAGACATAGCAAACAGGAAAAAAAAAAGAAGATAAAGCAGAGAGGGCTGTTCACCTAATTTCCACTATACTTGAACTCATCAGACTTGAACCAATCAGACCAGAACTGTGGCTTTGCTGCAGTCCCAGACTGTAACATTTAAATCCTAAATTAGAACTGTGTTTAAATTAACTAAAATCAGAAGTCAAATACAGCAGGTGTTAACTGTGCCTTGACCGAACTGTCCCAAAAAATGATGTCATTACAGACACTCAAATACTATTTGCATCATTGTAATAGATTTTCAACAGTTCTTCCTCTTTTCTCTCCCATTTTTTGAACTTCTCTGCCTTTTCCAGGATTCCTGGTCATTTTAGTCAAATGAAGGGGATGAAAATTCTGAATGGCTGCTCACAAATGGTATTGAATCATTATCTTGCCTTGGATCAATGGCTACCAAAAAGTTATTTCCTATTTCTCAATTACGCCACCTTTCAGAGAGTGCAAGCATTTACCCCTGTGGAAATACAACCATATAAATATTTGATATCTGTAAATATTTAAAAAGAACTGGGATATTCCACAGTAGTGAGGGGAACATACCTGAAAGCTCCTGAGAGCAGTAAGCACCTAATGAATTTAGCTGGTGATTCTGACATTCTGCTGTAAAGTCATCCCATTGTGAGCTGAAGATTAGATAGCCCAGTCTGGGTTGTGTTTATTTAGTTATGTTGAAAAAGATATCTCAGTTGATTAAAATATTTTTTATAGATTAAAGACATTTTTGTCATTTTTAATGACTTACTACTAGTACTTTATAAAAAGTATTTGAGATTGTGTTGACATATGCTTTAAAACAAGAAAAGTTTAAGTGGTATTTAATGGATAACTTATTACAAAGAAGGAATTCTCTAGACCTGCTTTACCTTTAATTCACATTGTTTGGATGGAGCACTTTTTTCACACGATAAAGCACTATGTGTTTGGCTGGGAAGAGGTGATTCGTGTGGCCAGAGAGCAAATCAAAGTCCCCTGCAAACAGGGGAGGGCTCCAGTGGTGTTGCATATTCAAGGAATATCAGAAATGCCAAGTTGTATAATGAACATCACATTCCACAGAAATCACCCTGGGGCCCTGAGGACTCAAATGGAGCCACTTGGACATCAGTACTATCACTGTTTCCTTCATGTCCTCACTGGTGTCCTCATCAATCAGGGGTCAAAAGTGGAATCATGGCCTCAGTGAATGAGGTTCCTGGCTCTACATTGTGTAGTCTAAATGGACAGGACAGACAGAGGGGTTCTCAGTGGGTTCCTCCTGCCAGAGCTGTTTCCCCGTGCCAAAAAGTCCAGCCACAGAGATGAGCTTGCACATAAAGTCCATAATTGACACCTTCCTCAATATTAGCTAGATTGCCTTTCACTTGTCATGTGGCCCCATCATTCCTCTATATCTGGCTACATGATGGCCCCAAAACATTCTATGTGGTGCAGTTAGGGCTTTATTTTGGAAGTGGTAGAAGTGAGCGTTAACTTCTCTGTCACTAATATGTATCCACAGACTATCATTCAAGCTCCTGGGCAAGGACATTAATTTTGGTACGGAAATTCGCAAGGAGTGGTTGTATTTACACTTTAAAAAAAAAAATGTGAGGGCTACAGCTGTTGGTGATTCTGCATTTTTCACTTATTTTTATACAAATATGATGTCTACTGATGGTTGGAGTGTCATCATGGCATGCTGCCTCCTCATATGAGGGCATTCAGCAATCTATTCTGTGACTCCATGGACATCTATGACATCTCTATACTGGCACACTCTATAATACTCATCTCTGGAGCTGTTGATTCCTCTCTTGCAAACCAGAAAAGCCAAAAGTGATTAGCTAAGAGCAACACAAAAGTTGGCAGTCATGTCTACTATAGTTCTTTGGGCTGGGCAAAATTGAGTTTGTACACATTAGGCATTCTTTAAATGTGATGCTGGGTCTCCAGAGCTTTGAAAAATCACTAGCTGCTTAAATTTCTAAACTGAGTGACTTTCACACGAACCTAAGACCTCACTACAGGAATGCAGGCACTCTGCAGTTTCCATGTAGATATCAAATAAAGCTAGGGTTCTTGTAAGAAGGGGAAGCAGGTCTGAATGGACTAAGGCAGCTAGACTCAGACTCAGCTCAATTTTATATACCACAATGAGCTCTCAGGATCTTACATGGAATATTTTAGACAAGATAACACTGAAAAACCCCAGTGGAGGGGAACTGAATTTCAGCTTTAAACACTAAGGTGCTTAAATGCCCAATTCAAAATATTTTTCTAACGTTTCATTTCCAGATCTGTCTCCAAAATAAAAAGGTGCCCTTTTGCCAGACTTAGCCAAGATGAAACCTAGCTGGGAGGAATCTCAGTTGGTCTGTCATTTGGGATTTGAGTCTCACAACTGAGCGCATCATACTGCAATGCAGCAACTTTAAACCCAAGCTTTCTCACAGGAACAATGCCCAATAAAAGCAAACAAAAAAGGAAACCAATAAACCCCTAATCTTTCAGTACACATTGAACACCTTCAATTCCAAGAGAAACAGAGACAGTGAAAGAGCTACCTTTTACTCTCATGCATCTTTTCATCAATGTTTAGGGGTTACTTCAAAGTCATGGAGGTAATAGAAAAATGCCTGAAAATGAGTTTTCACTGCCACTGAATATCCTGATCCTAGTATCAGACTTAATTAAAACAGCATTAGAAGTTTGGAGTCTTTGTCAGCTTTTTCTCTTTACATTTGTTTTTCATTTTCATCAGATGATTGCTCCATGAAGCTGATGGTCTGCAGGCTTGATTTTGCCTCTTGGTTCATTTTAAATACCAGAGACTGGAGCAACATGCAGAGAACAATGGCTTCAACCATAGTTGGCCAAAATCATGTTCAAAATGGTAAATCTAGGATTGATAGGTTCTTGTATATTCTGTTGTCAAGCTGCTAAATCCTAAATTATCTAAAAAATCTTAAACCATTCCTGAACCTCACTCTGTCCTTATCTCAGCCCTAGCCAAGGAATATGCCAGAAGTCCAAGCAAGCTGCCATGTTGCCTGATGTGACCTTGGGATGGTGGCAAAATGCGTAATCTGTGCAGTATGACGATCCATAACTCAGTGCACATGCAGCCATGTAAAGCCAATGCCTTACATATTTCTGAGATTTCTCCGTGTCTTCTCTCCACTGATCATTTCCCCTCTCTGTTTCCATATTCATGGCAACACTACCCAGGTAGCCCAGCCAGAGAGGTCAGGAAGGGTTTTGGTCTCTGACACCCTCCTGTGTGGATTGTCACAACGAGGTGTCTGATGTGCCCATTGACAAATCTTTTCAACAGCTCACACGGACTGCATTGATCCTGTCACCCAGTGAAGCCTGTTTTCCTTTAAAAATCAGCATCAGTTTGCATTATTTCATTACTCACCGCAAAGAAGGCTTTCGGCAAGGCGCTTCAACAATCACTAGATAATGGCTGAGAAGCATAAATAACCATTTAAAAACTTCTGGGGCTTTAATCAGCATGCTGTTTAGGCAGGATTTTGATGTTGCCTGGTAGGAGAGCCTGCATAATGGGGCCTCTTCGGAGGCATTTCTCACAACAGATTACTCAGCATATAGCAAGGGATATAGTCAGTATTAAGGTGTCTGAGCCAAAAGAACTGGGCAGGAACGGGCAGGCTCTACCAATTCATGCAGATAAACCCGGTAAGCATGGCTTTGTTTGCGGGCAACCTTACAGGCATTGCTCCTGTGTCACGACAGCTTTGTTTGCACGGGAGCACCAGCCCAGAGAGCCAGTCTGTGGAGAATTACCCAGCACAGAGATGAGCCCAGTGGAGCCCTGGAGGGCTGCAGGATTCAGCAAAAGGTAAGGAAGGAGTTGCATTGTGCTCCCACATGTCAGTAATTCAGACAGACTATGCTGTGTTGCAAACAGTGCAGCTTACCTCTGTAAAGGCACTTAAAATTGCCCTCCTTCCCATCCAATGGATAAAGAAAGTGATGCAGAGATGGTTGAGTTGCTGCTTGGGCCCAGCACTGCTTTAGTAAAACAGGATTTAGATTCAGCTCCTCAAAACAGCTGGAAAACTCTAGCAAAGCCTCACATATTTATTTAATCTATCTTTTCAATCCATGGGTTAAACAGTCTTAAAATAAGAGATTTGAACAGAATTAATTAAATTGCATTAAAAACCCCGCATAAGCATCACCTTATGGGATGCACAGAGCACTGTGTCAGAAGAGACAACATGCTAAAGAATGGAGATCTAGATTTACCTCTCCAAAAGACTAACTTAAATAATAGCAGTCCTTGTGTCCTTTTTTGACAAAGGAATACAACCCTAGAAGGTCTTTTTGGTATCTGAATAACATTATATATATGCATCTATATATATATATACACACACATACATATACATAGATATCCATATATATATATATATATATATATGTCCCTGTGCAGTTACTTTTTAAAAGAGGTTTCAGTGTCTGAGTCATGGAGAAGCTGTTGACAATTTTACCTTGAGAAATTTATTTTTTTCTTGCTTACAGCACATCAGTCTCTTTCCCTGCTGTTTGGTAACTCAGTTGCTCTTCACACATCCACAGGAAAGTCTGAGACTGCCTGTTGGCTTCTCTTGGAAGAATGTCCTGAATTGGAGCCTGCTGTCAACACAGATTTCAGGACAAAGAAGGGAGGTCTTAAAAAATGTAAACTGGAGCACGGTGTCCAACTCTGATGAATTGTCGGTGGGAACAAGGTACATTATTTCCCTTCGTGCTTTTAAAAATCATCCTGAGAGTTATTTATCAGATAAGGTTTTAACATAAATAGTTTGACTCTTGACACAGTCTGTCCATTCAAATCACCAGGAAGGAGGAAGAACTGGAGTTTTGCACTTGGATTATCCTCAAGAAATGTTCATGGTTAAAAAAAATACTTATGGAGTCTGTGTTTAAATCTACATCCAACACTATGCAAATATTTGCATGCTGTAACTTAACTCTACATAAATCAGGGTTCTTGTCAATGAATTGTTTGATTAATCAGTGGCTTAATTTGTGCATCAGGGCAAGAGGGAGAAAAACAACCCAAAACAGCTGTGTGATTGATTTTTGTTTTCCTCCAGACCAACCCAAAGTATTGTATAAATAAGTAACTTCTATTGTGGTTAACTTCCTCAAAAGATAAAGAGGGAGGCCAAAAGCTTTCTTTTATACAGTCCTTCCTTGAGCACTGATAGATCTGGGGCTGTGAAAATCCCAGTACAAGCCTGGAAAGGCCCAGGGATGTTGAGTTTTGGGCCATTGATGTACACAAGTTAGATCAGGCTGGGTAATTTGGCCCAGAGTACCTATAAAACACGAGAGTTTTCAACAGTTTGGAAATGGTCTCCAACTTTTGAGCTCTCTGGAAGCATAAACTTTGTTTTACAAGTAGGGTGGGCATTCAGAACATAAAAATCAACAGAACAACTATGTTTGTTCAAATTAAAGGAGAATGATGAGGAAAATGCCTTTGTGGCCAGTAACAGATTCCCTCACTGCAAGACAATCACAGAGTACATCAAGTAGTCAACAGGAATCAGTAAATGGACACAATCTCCATTGAGGATGCTGATGCTTAGTGACTTCCAGCATATACAGGGGCTGGTTCACCTGTATTTCCTGTGTCCCTGCCCTATCCCATCCAGCAAATGCCAGTCCCTACTTACTAAACATACTGTTTAAGGGCATTCTGAGTTGGGCCACAACACCTCTACTTGCAAAGCAGGTTGGAATTTGGACAAGGAGATGCTCTCCTGCTCCTTGGCAACAAAGACAGAAAATGTGGATGCTCTGTTAGGCTGATAGAGCTGAGGTAAGCAGGATGATCTGTTTCACTCTTGGGCTGACTTTACCCTCTGTGTTACACCAGGATGCTTATCTACTCTCCATATTTGCCATCATATGCACTCAATGTGGCAGATAAAACAACAGAGTTATAGTTACTAAAGCTGTGTGTAACCTCCTGTGCCATGGAGTCAGCTCTCCGTGCAGTTGCAGGTCAGTGCAAGAAT